AATCTTGCCATAGACGGGAATCGTGCCAGCGACTGGGCCGAGGGATCTTGTAGTCACACCACCAAAACTATGAACCCCTGGTGGCGACTGGATCTGGGCAAAACACACAGAGTGTTTTCTGTTAACATCACCAACTACAAACTCATCCTGAACTAATTAACGGAGCTGAGATCCGCATCGGAGATTCCCTTGACAATGACGGCAACAACAATACCAGGTAGTTTATCCAAATAGTACAAACAGTGAAAGTCAATTTATCTGTCATTGGGCTTGTTGGAACAACAAACTTCTCCTGAAAGCACCTACAATTTTTTTTAAATGTAAAACCAGATAGTATGGAGCCCAAAGGCAACATGGGGCTAGAAGATATAATTTAAAAACAAGTTTCTGCTGTGCACCTGAAACTATCTCATGAGCAAAATAATTTATTCACAACCACATTTGATCCACTTGTAAATGTCCCTGTGTGAACACAGACCAAATTTGAGGTAATTATGCAACAATGGAACAAACTGGTCAATGATTCAGACCAGAGCAAACGAACTACAGCCCTCAGTTTTCATGTCAGGTATCAGAAAATTAAGGTTTTTTTGCATTTGATGATAGAATCTTGAGTTCCAGAATAAAGGCATAAAGGTTTCCAACAAAGCCGCACTTAACGTCAGGTATAAAAGGGCAAATAGATGAAAGAGACCTTTTTGAGATTCCTATTTTATTCCAATTGAGCTCGCAGTAGAGCCACTACTCCTTCTAATCGAAGGGAGCCAGTTGAGGTGGTTCGGGAATCTAATTAGATCCTCCTGGACGCCTACCTTTAAAGGTTTTTCTTGCACGCCCAAATGGGAGGAGACCCCGGGTAGACCCTGGAGGGATTAAATATCCTGTCTGGCCTGGGAATGACTCGTGATCCTCCATGGGAGCTGGAAAATGTTGCTGGGAGAGGGAAGTCTGGGTTGACTTAATTCACTTGCTGCGACCGCGACCCGACTCGGATAACCGGAAGATAATGGATAGATGGATGATTTATTCTAATTTTATTCTCTACTCTGAAGCTAACACTTGAAGTATTGAGCTAATGAGGCACTTTCTTCTTCTGCTAGGTGTGCTGTGATTACCAGCATTGCTGGAGGTTTCACTGAAAACTTCAACTGTAACGGGATGACGGCCGCTACGTCAACGTGGTCATTCCTGGAAGGGTGGAGTACCTGGCTGTGTGTGAGTTTGAGGTCTATGGATCCAGACTGGATTAGATCTCAGAGAGGGTTGAACATTTTTATCAGAGATAAACATCTTTACAGCCTGGTTCAAAAAACCAAATAGGTCTGATTGGCTCATGTCTTGATCGGCACACACTGAATTTTATGATGACTCATTCGTTTTGATTTGATGAAGGATAAGAGTTATTCACAATAAGGCGTGGGCAGGGGCGTGCAAGGGGACCCCCGCTCCATCATCAAGTACAGAGACCTGGACACTCCAGACGACCTGGACTTCTTTTAAACCCGGACAGAGCTCTGGATGTTTTTTAAACCAGTTGCACCAGCTGACCTGATTGACAGGCGGGTGCAGTGTAACGGTTTGTCAGGAGGCTTAAAACCCGCCTCAGCTCTAGCTCTCAGCCTGTCGTTAGGTTGACTGAAAGTTAGGCTGAGACAGCATTTCCAGCATGGAGACCGCCATCGATGGGACTCCAGCGCCCCTGCAGGAACAGACGGTCGACGTCACTCAGGCTTTTTTCATTAAAGGAGCAACATGTAACTCGCTCTGTAAACCTTTCTGCGTTCTAACCTCTCTCCATTTTTCAAAAGCATCTCCAATATTGATCCTAGTTTGAGCACGTTTCTTCTCGTGGAGCTTATTAGAAACATGCAGAGGCTTTTTAGGTCGGGTACAATCACTTCTATCTGAAACAGTTCTTCCATCGCTGCAACACCTGTTGGTTTGACCTGATAACTGCTCTCATATCTGACAAACCGAGGGGCGTCCAACATGGCCGTGTGCCTTAAAACCGCCTACCTTCTCTGGTCCAAACAAATCCAGAGCATTCAGGACCAGAATCTAAAGTTAGAAGGAGGACATACTGGCTGCTGCATTGTTGTCAGAGAAGCCAGCACTTAAACATAGCATGTTTCCTTAATGTCTGATCATATAGTAAGCTCACTTTATCATTTCACTCATTACAGAGCTTACTGATTGAACAATTAATGTTTACAGTCTATGGGAAGCTGGAAGGACATCAGGCAACGCTCCAAGGTTAACTCAGTCCGTACAAACAACGTACGAAAGTGAACCGAAGTGTTCAATAATTCCCACTGCAGTAGTCCCAGAGTTAATGTTCAATGTCGTAACTCCAGGGGCGTATACAGAGGGGGGGGACAGGGGTTGAAAAATGTGCAACCAATGTTGTTTACACTGTTTTACTGCCAATGCTTTTATTGGCAACCTTCATGGGTTAAAGTCTGAGATGAAATCGAGTGTTATCGGTTTGTCGGGAAACACACACACAATCCATGTGATGCAACCATTGCTGTTTACACAGTTTTACTGAATTTTTTGAGTCATCCGTTTTGATTTTATGAGGGATAAGAGTTTTCCCAACAAGGCGCATAGCTGACGTGATTGACAGGTGCGCGGGATGCAACTGTTTGTCATAATGCTTAAAACCCTCCTCAGCTCCAGGTCTCAACCTGTCGTTAGGCTGACATTTCCAGCATGGCGGCGGCCTCTGATGAGCCTCTGGAGCCCCCTGCAGGAAGTGATGGGTGATGTTACTCAGGTTACGAATGTACGAATAACCTTGTTATGCTGCAGTGAATGTAATTCATATATTCAACAACACAAACTGCAAGATAGTACAACACTTGCATTAACAGTTTAAACACTATAACAACAACTAAGAAGCGGTATCAATCGCAATGGATTGTGGGATGGGTAGTTCCTCGACTCGGGAAGATAAATCATCACATTGTACCATTGTCTTTTTCTCAGTTTGTTAATGCCGTTTTTACGCCTGAGGGTACTGCGCCCCACAGTTTGTGCTTGCCGTCTGAGCGCGCTGCGAGGAAGTTCAATATTTTCAACTTTGGCGCAGCACTCCACGACGTCACCTCCAAGCGTCCAATAGCAGGGAAGATCAGATCACAACAAACGTTGTCCCACTTTCCTGAGCTCTAGTTTACAGACCTACCAGGACATCAGACAGAGAGCTCTAGTTTGTGCAGAAATGTGTGGCGTGTTCGTGAAGCGGTCATTATAGAGCTGCAGCACCTGAACGAGCCTAAACGCTCCCACATCCTGTCGCGCCCTGAGGCTTTCATGAAGCCACACCCTCTTCTTCTTTTCTGTTCGTCTCCTCCTTCCCAGCAGATGAAAGGTCGGAACTTTCTACTGAATAGTGGACACATACATTGTGCTGGGGCACAATGCTATTGAGCTATTGTTCCGACTATCGTTTCGGTCACAAGCGACTTGCGTAGCTGATTTGCTCACTCCCCCTCTGCTCTGCGCCTACCCGCAAGCGCAGTGCACACCGCATACTATCTGAAAAGCTCTTAAATATAACGGCTAATGTTTGTGTGTTAAGCCAAAGTCCTGGTTCACTGTTATTTACTCTGCATCTGACTTACAGATTCTGCTTTAGGAACAGGAGAGACAGAACGTATTAGTAAAAGCCTGACTGTTAGAGGGAAGGCAGAGACTGTCACAACAGTTGGATCAATGCAGTTGTGTATTTATTTATAAGTAGGAATCACATGACTGCTATCGTTTGCGTGCCCTTAGATGATCTCTTGAGTCCAGATGACCGGGAGAGGAGTGTGATTTGTCTTCATGGGAGTAGACTTTATGATGTGATGTGATTGGCTTTCAGGGTATTTATATTACGGATACGTGTAAGACTAGTCTGCACACACACACAAACACACACACACATCTCTGCCTGGGGAAGAGTTGCATTGTTGGACTCCAGGGAAATACCAGAAATCAGGGTAAATATTTCATTTTTCTCTTTTAAGTATTCATTCCTGCAACTAGTACGATGCATATAAATACTGAAAATGTACCTTCAAGAGTTACTGACTTAGCAAATTCTTCATTATATTTTAAAACCTGAGCTTGAAACTGTAATTTCTTAGGTATGACAAAGGCACTAATAAAGTACTTTCTGAAAATGTTTTGTATTTCTCTGTTGGTAGACTGGAAGAAGGAAGAGTATGTGGGACAAAATAGTAAGAATTGGGCATTTAAAATGTGTTTACAGCAAAGTGTCGGCACAAACCTGGAGTGAGGCAGGCACAACGTTTAAAAAGGGTCAGTGACCCAGTGCCTGGTGCAACAGATACCCTGGCCAAGATCCGAGTGTGCTCTACCCCAAAGTCCGGTCATTTAATCAGTGTGAACACAAACGTACCATACTTTTACCATACTCGGGTACTGTGCCCGAGTCCCCTGGAAGAGGTGGCCTCGGCCATGATTCATGTGTACTCGATCACGGTCCGCGGTAGATTTGGATGAAACTGTAATCAAACAAGGAAGTGGACCACTGTGACGTCATTCAAAAAGTCTTGTGTTGCTCCAAAAACCGCTGTATCCGAGTAGCACAGACCTGTTTCATCCTCTGAGCTGCACAATAGATGTGGAAGTAATAAGAAGATGGTTGTTGGGGTCCCAGAAATAACAAAAACATCCACAGCTAGCAGGATGGACTCAGTCCATGATTGGTTGCCATGGTTGCTTCTTCAGCTTTTTGGTGGATTTGCAAACCACCTGTGTGCATACTGCCACCTGCTATATCGGACAGTGTGAATAAGCAAGTGTTTAACGTAGACGAGCGGGGGAAGGGGGCAATCGAGCCTAATGTGAAAACGCCCTTAATTTGGATGAAGAGCCCTGAAGCAACAGGACATCCTTTTTTTCTAAAGTGCCAACTCATTACAAATCTTATCTCAAGACACTTTACTGAAAATTGTTCTCTCTTTTCTGTCTCATCCAGAACAATGAAGTACGTTTTGTTATTTATTTTGCTGACCCTCTTGGGAACGTGCTCGGCCAGAAATCATGGTAAGTATACTGTAATGTGATAATAACGGTATTCTCTTTATTGTTGGTAAACTGATGTACAAAATGAGTTCTCTCTATTCTAGTTCTCATACAATCCACAGTACCACTTAGTATTGTAGTAGAAGGTCTCGGCCTTGTCTCGGAACCGAAAGTATTTTTACCCGGTCTTGTCTCGGTCTCAGACTGGGTGGACTCTGGATTTTAAATCAAGACCACCACTGATCGGCTACATTTCCACGTCAGCACTGTGACGAGAAGGAAGAATGCCGGCTTCAACCTTCCCAGTGTTGTGGTCTAAATGAGTGACACACCCGGCGCCGCACACAAGATGATGATTTTTTCATTGATATTTATGGTCTTGGTCTTGTCTTCGTCTCATCCTGTCTTGGTCTTGGTCTTGTCTTGGTCTCTGAGCACTCTGGTCTCGGGTATGTCTTGGTCTTGGTTACTGTGGTCTTTACTACAACACAAGTACCAGTTCTAACTAAATCGTTAAAGGGTTAACTGTGTTTACGTTCGGAGCGGGAAACTGTCTGCTCCCTTCATTTCCACTCCTTCAAGTGAGAAATAGACAACGAGAAGCTGCCAATCAAACTTATTTAAGACAAGTGGAAAATTAAAAAAAATACTATAATCACAAATTTAATGTTCATTGTGGGGAAAACTTCCTTTTAGTGAGTAGGAATCTGACATCATGAAGCTATTTCCATGAATACTGCTTATGTACATACTGTAAGAACTTTAGCTCAAGTAAAATAATCATCTGTTACATAATAGCATATATTTCACATCAATATATTCATATTTTGCACTACTCTCAACTGCACTGGTATTTTATTTAGCTTTGTCTATATTAGTTTTTTTTGCTTAAATGTTTATATTTAATGTTATTCTTTTGTACATTGAGAGCACAGTTACCGAAGACACATTCCTTGTGTGTGTTTAAGTATACGGTCAATAAAGCTGATTCTGATTCTATTTAATATAAATCTACAAATAATTTCCTCAACAGAAAATGTGGCCTTGCATGGCAAAGCAACTCAGTCGCATCGCTTCCGCATAATTTGGGGATGCCTCCAGTGCAATCGATGGAAACCGTGAATCAAACTTCGGCGCTGGTTCATGCACTCACACTATAGAAATGGAAAACCCCTGGTGGAGAGTGGACCTGCTGGACAGCTACATCGTCACCTCCGTCGTCATCACCAACAGAGGAGACTGCTGTCCAGAGAGGCTCAATGGGGCTGAGGTTCACATAGGCAACCACTTACAAGACAATGGTGCTGCAAACCCACTGTGAGTGATATTAAAGCTACTGAAAACCTCATACTGCAATAACCTAGAGGTAGCATCTGCACAGTCAGGGCCGATCACACAGAGACGCGTCACTAGAAAAGCCTCGCCAACAAAATACCCTAGTTTTATCCTCTTTGCATTGGTTACCCGTTTCTTTTAGTATCCATTTTAAAATGTTACTTATTACTTACAAGGTTTTTCATGGCCATGCCTGCAGGCACCAGACTACATCAATGAACTCCTCGCTCCTTAGCACCCAAAACAGCCTCTGACATCTGCAAGTTTAGGCCTCCCAGCAGTTCCACAGTCCAGACCAAGGTCAAAGGGTGATCGACCATTTGCTCTACTGGCTCCTCAGCTTTGGAACAATCAATGTTGTCAATGTTGTCTGTGGAAGCACTTGGTGCATCTGTCTTGAAAAGTGCTATATAAATGAAATGATTATTATTATTTACATTATATGATGTTTTGACAGATGTGTTATCTGACCTTGACACATCACAGATAGATAATGATTTTTTTTTTAGATTTATTTTTGGGCTTTTTGTGCCTTTAATGGGGAGACAGGACAGTGGATAGAGCTGGAAATCAGGGAGGAGAGTAGGGAATGACATGCGGGAAAGGAGCCGCCCGCAGGAGGACCATAGCCTCCATACAAGGGGCACGCGCACCAACCACTGCACCACCAGCGCCCCGATAATGATCATTTTAACGTGTTTGTGTGTTTGTTTCAGGGCTGGAACAATATCTCACATCCCTGCAGGCAACTCGCACACCCTGACTCCAAGCTCTGGTACCAGTGGACGTTATGTGACAATCGTTCTACCCGGTGCTAAAAGGTATCTTACGCTGTGTGAAGTGGAGGTTTACGGGTACCGTGCCCCGACAGGTGAGGATTTAAGCCATACAGTTCTATTTTAAATAAGTTAAAGTCATTCTGTTAAAGCATGTATCTAAACATTTAAGTTCATACCTCGATCTGGTTGGATACTTGATTGTGATTGGCTGCTCAACAAAGACGCAGCATGTTGGAATGGATACACATCAGTTATGACTTTATATGATGTTAGAAACAGGCAGATGTGGTGGTCTCCATCCCTCCCACACAGAAATCTTTCAGAATTGAGGACATTTCAGAATGGAAATGTTGTGGAAATTGTGTCTGATATATGACAAGTTGCTTTGCAGATGTATTTAAAAAAAAAAAAAAAAAACATTGTTGTGACCTCATAGTGATTAAAACACAGAAGAACAAACATATTTATAAGTGCTTGCATTTTATTTTACAGGAGAGAACCTGGCGCTCAAAGGAAAAGCCTCACAGTCATCATTGTATACAGAAGGCGATGCATACTTTGCTGTTGATGGGAATAACGACAACGATCGGGCCCACAGGTCCTGCTCTCACACCGACACTAACTTCGCACCCTGGTGGCGACTTGATTTGCTTAAAACCCATAAAGTGGATTCTGTTAAGATAACCAACCGCAAAGATCTTGAGTTCTATCAACGACTGAATGGAGCCGAGCTGCGCATTGGAGACTCACTTGAAAACAATGGCAACAACAACCCAAGGTATAGTGTTCACCCTGTTCACTTAAAGGTCACATGCTATTCTCCTCTTCAACCAGTTTAACTTGGTCTCAGAGCTCCCCAAAACATATCTGTGAAGTTTCTTGTTCTAAATCCACTCTGATCCTGCATTTGATCATGTCTATAAACCCCTCTATTTCAGCCCTGCTCAGAACAGGCTGTTTCTGTGTCTGTAGCTTTAAATGTCTGACCACGCCCCTCTCTGGAAGGGCTTGGGTGGCTCGGGCTTTCTGGCTCCATGCTCTATTGTTTACTGTGAGAAGGCAGACTCAGAGAGCAGAACAAACCTAGCTGTGGGAGTGTCACCCACCATGGGGAGGGGTTAGTGCCCTTTCTGATGTCATGAAGGGAAAATCTCCCAACGGCCTGTTTGAGCACACGTTTTTTTCTTCTGCTCCAGGGGCCTGTATGTACAGTACTACTGAAATACTGATTGTTTGTTGTCTCTGATTAATCTTCTTCTGTTGTTTGTTTGTAAATATATGCATGGTCTAAGTCTAAATTAAATAAATATTGAGGAAAAGTTCTGCAGTTACACATGTTTCACAGTTATAACAGAGAACATTTTTTTAAATGGTACTTATGTGTTAAAGAATGTGACGTCTTGACTGGTCTTTCTTTTGTCAGATGCGCCGTGGTAGATAACATCCCCGCCGGAGCGACTGTTGAATTTCAATGTAATGGGATGGATGGCCGCTATGTGAACGTATTCATCCCTGGAAAGGAGGAGTACCTGACCCTGTGCGAGGTGGAGGTTTATGGCTCCGTCCTGGATTAGCATCAAGATTCACTTTATCCAAAATGAGCTAAATTTAACCAACTGAACTCACATGAATCAAACTAATAGATACGGCTTAATTTTGATTGTTTGCATTGAAAATAATAAAATTTGTGTAAAAGGATAATTGCATCTTGGGGGGGGGGGGGCTCTGATGGTTTTTGGGAGTGAGCTCCAGAGTGTGGGAGGGGCAATGGAGAAGGCCTTGCCCCCCCCCAGGACTGATGGTTCGTTCTGCATGGGAAGTACAAGTGGTTTGCATCAGTAGACCTGAGAGTGCAGAGGTGGAGTATGCCGGTGGAGGGGCTCAGATAGGTATGGGGGGATATCAGAAACGTGGGGAGAGGGGGCAGGTTGTGGAGGGCTATGTTAGTGGTGATGAGGACTTTGAAGTGGATACGCTGGGTTTCGGGAGCCAGTGGAAGTCACGAAGAACGGTGGTGATGTAGTCACAGGTGCAGGAGTGTGTGAGAATGCGAGCAGCAGAATTCTGGATATATTGTAGTTTTGTATTTAGAGCTACAGTGTAAGTAATAATGGTAAAAGTATTTGTTGTATATTAGCAGTTACAGCTAAGTATGATAAGAGACTCATCAGTCTAATATTGATGTTATGATTGATGAATTTCTTCGACGTCGTTGAACGCAATTGGACTTCACTCCCTTCCGCCCACTACACTCTGCCAACCTGATCCAACCTTCACAACAGGGCCCTCAATTTCAAACTAGACTCTTCAAGAAAGCAGTATAGATAATGGAGGTTGGATTTTATTCAATATTTTTGTCTACCTTGCACTTTGTTGCTGCTCCTTATTTTGTCTCTCATGCTGCTGCTCTATATGCCTTTATATTGCCCCCCAAATAACGTTTTTTGACAAGAATTGAATTAACGTGCACCAATAAAGCAGATTTTCTCCGACTATTCAAAATGTTATTATGACTAATACTCCCATTGTCATCATGTGGTTTCTCTTTGCTTGCAGTCTAAAGGCCGAACAGTATCTAATAAAACATCTTATGAAGCGTCTGAAAGTCTGTCAGCAATATGAAATCTCTCTAATTAAACTGTTTTATCTTCGTTTGTATATGACCAGGAAGTACAACTGTGTTTTTCCAGGACTACATGTGACACATTGTTTTTAGATGTGATGTTGAGACAATAAAAGTGGAAAACATCATTGAAGTGCGAGTTCGTTGTTGCAATGTAAATCAACCAAATGTCACTTATAAAGACAGTTATATTCCTCTGATTTTAAACGTTAGAAGAAGACCAAAGGATGAGTCACTCTTCCTGTTTGTGTGTACTATATGTGAGAGGCTTCTGAATTAAAACTGAGATCCTGCTTGTCAGATGATTTCAGGTTATTCATCCGTACGTCCTTGTCCAGAAGGTGGAGCAGGTTTACATCGTCTCCTCATCCTTGAAGCGGACACCAGAAAAAAGGAGGAGAGGAGAAACCGGGACCATCTATTCTTAAGAGAGGGGATGTGAGTTCTTTGACACAAATGGTTTTCAGATGCATTTGTAACTTCGTATCTTCAAGAATGGCAGAGTTTCAGGTCAACTTAAACATCAGAATATCATCCATATTTAATCTGACATCAAATCTAATCAAAGTCATAAAAAAAATCAATCCCCAACAGGGAGATCTGTGATGCCAGGCTGTGGTTTTATAAACAACAACAGTTCAATAACAGCATTAAGACAAAAACAGAATTATGTTTTTATAGTATGTTTGTGTTTCATACTATATAATTCACAATCAATGATGTATATAGTCAATGTTTATCAGTGCATACCTGAGTGTTTGTAATATGTTCATTCACCCAAAAACGTTTCAATTTCAAATTGTTTGTAAAACAAATGTAGCGGCTGAAACTTGCTGTAAGTGAAACAAACATGCTGCTAAAAGCTGAAAACATTTGCATTTACATCAAATGTGTTAAAACCAGAGGTGTCAAGTAACGAAGTACAAATATTTCAGCTTGTTTTCATTCCAGCTTGTCATCGTTCAAAAAAAACATATGGATGAGAAGTATAAACATATACCATTCCGACACCCTATTGGTTTGTACGTGATCCACCTGCACATGACACAAATCACATCACACTCCAGCAAGGAAATGGCAGACATATGTAGCCTAGTACGAAGATGTCCATGGCAGAGACAACCATACAAGGGTAATTGTTACTAAGCCTGCCCTGGGTACACCAATTTTCTTGTCCAGTTTTGTTATCTTACATCCGTTGCCCTCACAGATTCCTGCAGCTAAGCTTGGATGTACATTTACATTCCAATGAAGGCTATTGATAACATGCCTCTGAAGTTTGACTTTTTGCACCGTTGCAATACTTATAGGCAACTAGTCATCATATCTTCTGCTCCATGAAACACATGTTAATGCTCAGTAGTACACATATATGGTTCTTTAATGTATTTGCATTGTACTAAAATGCGTTCATTTTCAATGGGCATAAATGCGGCTGAAACAGGTGCATCCCAAATTTTTCAACATTAACATTTTAATATGACATTATAGTCATTATGGCCTTTAGAAAAATGTTTTTTTGGAGAGGTGGGGTAGTGCACTTTAGACCCCTGTGGCGCTGCCTTTTTCTGGGACAACCACTGCTGTCTGCATTCTGTTTCAAATATATTAAATGGACTCCATACTTGATCTATATGCTTCCATTCTGTGTGACCTTTTCCTTTTATCTCACACGTGTTGTCTTGTATGTTTTTATGGGTGTACGTTGTAATGAGCACACTAACGGATGTTAAAGTGGATGTGTCAGTAAGATTCTGAATCTACAGGTTCAGAGAAACTGAAAAAGAAAAACGTCATTAAAAAGTTGCCAATCCCTGACTGGAATGATAGTCAAAATGATCGTTATCTGCACACAAGGAAGCATAAAGTCAACCGTGGTAAATTATCAGTAAACAACAGCACGTGTGTCATGATAAGACGTGGGTATAAATATTCTAACGTGGCCAACATTAACTCATAATCATCGATACAACAACAGCTACAGCAGCTCCTCGTCGTCTTCTGAGGCTTTACTCTGCAACTAAAGGTAGGTCGTTGTACCTTATGATTAAAAACCTTTAAAAATGGAAAATTAACCAACATTTAGTTTTACAGGGGTGGTGATTCGATACATCTCACAATATAAGATTTATGATTCAATAAATGGGCACGTTAAACGGTTATTGAAATAGCCCGCTCTGAGACTTATTTTAACTGGTTAAAGAGGAGGAGGATATTTGACCTTTAATGTTGACAGCCCGTGTAACATTTATGGAATTGTATGCACTTTCGACATCCAACCTCTACATCTAAGTTTGTTTTGGTTTTAAGAGACATTTACAACAGTAATAATGCTCATTTTCTCAGTGTAATTCTGTCATCGGCTCTCTTGTCTGTCTCAAACAGAACAATGAAACGCAGCTCCGTTCTGCTTCTGCACCTTCTTCTGGGGTCATGCTCGACCTACGCCTACGGTAAGAATTATTGTCATATATCTTTTATATAAATAATTTCATCCCCCATTATATTAAAAATAACTGTTAGTTCACACTCAGTTATTTTCTCACAGATTTACAAACAGTGGGACTTTATTCCAACCAGTCGCATCGAGTCTCCCCCTGGTGGCCATTAGAGATAATGCAGGTATCAGGCATTCCTGCGTAGCCTGCTCTTTTGAGACCTGAGGATAAGGTTTTCATTTACACATGTAAGAACACAAACGGCCACAGTCGGGTCGAGCCGATGTGTGAACGCAGCAGGAAACATTCAGGAATATTCGAGTGGGAGGGGTGATGACATTTATCTGTGCATGTCTTTAAACTGCTTCATTATGTTTTCTGTTCAGCAGTATGTTCTTCTCTGCTCCTTTGTTGATATCCTGAACATCTTTTATTGACTTAACTCTTAAAGACACCAAAGTGTCGGACTCTGTTGCATCATCCTTTATTTCTGTGTCGTTCCTATCACATCATGTCCTGCCTCCTGAGACCAGCCCTTTCAAATTAGACAGGGATCGCCCCGCTGTGAGGTGGATGTGTGAACAACTAACTGAGGAAGATTTCAGGGGCAGTCTTCCTGAAATGACCCCTAAGTGGCATGATTGCAGGTTTAGTAACTTGAAAACTCTTTTTTTTATCAGGTTTTAATGTGTATTTAAAATGTTTTTATCACAGAAAACGTGGCCTTGCGGGGAAAAGCGACCCAGTCAACACGCCACCTGCACCCTTGGTCATCTGCGGACAATGCCATCGATGGAAACCGTGATACTAACTCCGGCTCTGGATCGTGCACTCACACTTTAGTAGAGGCCAACCCATGGTGGAGGGTAGACCTACTGGAGTCGTACATCGTCACCTCCCTCGTCATCACCAACAGAGGAGACTGCTGTGCAGAAAGGCTCAACGGGGCTGAGATTCACATCGGTCACTCTTTAGAAGACAATGGAGTTGGAAATCCACTGTGAGTGAATAATGCTACTCATCTGTTAATCTCTATCAGCAGATTCTCTATTAAAAGTAAAGTCTGTAGTCGGGGTCCGAATTTTAGTGTGGGAAGTGTTCTGGCTTCTGTTAGTACATCAATCATTATTTGTATAAAGCGCCAATTCATAACAAGTGTTATCTGGAGACGCTTTACAAAGGGATAATATGCAGGAAGGGTTTCTCCTTTGTATTCCTCTTGTTCCTGTTGTCCACACTTCCTCTCCGCTGAGGTGGAGGTCGGAGCAGGCCGTGCATGAATGAGGACAGCGGTGGTTGGTGGTGGCTGGGCGTCAGGGACGTCGGGTGGTAGTAGTGCCAGATCACCTCACTGAAGGTTGGGGGAGATCTGGATTTTTGGTGGTGACAGCCTGCTGCTCTTGAAGAGCCTGGCTTCTGCTGCCAGGTCAAGACCTCATTGGCTTCTGGCAAGGAAAGGGGGCAGGGGATCCATAGCAGCAGGGGGCAGGGGGTCCATAGCAGCAGGCTGTCACCACCAAAATTCCAGAGGAACTGTCAAGTGCTGACATTTGTTGTCAGAGAAGTATTGACCAATTATGTATCAGCAAGCTTTGGTGTATGCAGGAAAAACAGTCTTTGTGGACAGCAAAAGCTGGCTCCCATCAGCCGCAATCTGATTATGTATTACACTTTAAACAAATAATCTGCATGCACGTGCAGTTTACAATCTGTTCTTGATAGAAAAAACTTCAACTTGAGCGAAAGATGCAATTGACGCTGTGGCAAAGTCAATCATAGGGCTTTCACACCTGCAGAAAACTCCTGAAAAACTCCTGATATTTGCAGGAGGAGCTGCATGTTTTGAACGTATTAAACTGCTGCATTTTGTTTTCTGTTCTCCAGTTTGTTCTTCTCCACTCTTTTGTTGACACTGTGATTCTGATTGGTCAAGTATTAGTGTGGTCCATCCATCACTTAGATTGCTTTACGTCATACTTCCAAATTATTATTATTATTGGTTTTAGAAAACAACAAAGTCATGCAATGCTCCTTCTCTCTTGATCTCCCGTAGGGTTGGAGTCATCTCTCATGTCCCAGCAGGCAGGTCTTTAAAAGTCACCTTCACCAAACTTGTGGTGGGACGTTACGTGACTGTGACTCTGACTGGTCCAGAAAAGATCCTTTCACTCTGCGAAGTGGAAGTGTATGGGTACCATGCACCAACTGGTGAGAATTTGAGCACCTGCATATTTTATCCTGAGCCATTAAAGATGTAGCTAACGAAGGTCTGACTTGAGGCGTCTGTGGCCCAGCAGTAGAGTAAGTTGTCTCAACCAGAAGGTCGGGGGTTCGATCCCCAGCTCCTGCGGCAACATGTTCGATGTGTCCTGGGCCAAGACACTTCACCCCAAGATGCTCCTGCTGCTTCGTTGGCCGTGTGTGAATGTGTACGAATGGATAAGTTAATACTGAGGGACTCTTTACACAGCCGCCTCTACCATCAGTGTGTGAATGTGTAGGTATGACCTGCGGAGTAAAAGCGGCAGCGGTCTCATTTTCTATACAGCTTCAGTCACACCACAGTTTAAAATGCATTCATTTAAATGTGAAAACGTGCAAACTGCATACACTTTCTTTTACTTGAAGATGTCTCCCGTTAAAAACATGGAGGTGGTAGTGCACTTTAGCCTCTTCTGGCTGAAATGAGTATTACAATAACAAACAAATCATTATATTTTTAATTTTGAAAAATACTTTATTACCAACATTGTTTGACAATATATATATATATATATATATAATATTAATAGAAAATATTGAAGACCATTAAGGAAAATAAAATAAGCTTTTCTTGATTTGATCTTGATGCAAAGATCAGGCTTGTGACTTTTTATTGCTGGAAAATGTTCTATAAAGCAACACATTTATTCTGCATCCTTTAAGATTTGAATGCCTTTCAAAATGAGTAACATGATTTTCTATAACCTTAGAAGTTTTCTTTCACCAATGTAGAGGTCGGCAAAGTGCACATAGTTACAAGTTTCCGGTTCAAGAAAACTTTGACTGCACATAGCATCAAGTTAAACACTCAGCACTGACATTTACAACTGTTTCTTTTCTGCAGGAGAGAATCTGGCACTCCAGGGACAAGCTACACAGTCGACACTGCATGCAACAGGTTTTGCAAATCTTGCCATAGACGGGAATCGTGCCAGCGACTGGGCCGAGGGATCTTGTAGTCACACCACCAAAACTATGAACCCCTGGTGGCGACTGGATCTGGGCAAAACACACAGAGTGTTTTCTGTTAACATCACCAACTACAATACTCATCCTGAACTAATTAACGGAGCTGAGATCCGCATCGGAGATTCCCTTGACAATGACGGCAACAACAATACCAGGTAGTTTATCCAAATAGTACAAACAGTGAAAGTCAATTTATCTGTCATTGGGCTTGGTTGGAACAACAAACTTCTCCTGAAAGCACCTACAATTTTTTTTAAATGTAAAACCAGATAGTATGGAGGCCCAAAGGCAACATGGGGCTAGAAGATATAATTTAAAAACAAGTTTCTGCTGTGCACCTGAAACTATCTCATGAGCAAAATAATTTATTCACAACCACATTTGATCCACTTGTAAATGTCCCTGTGTGAACACAGACCAAATTTGAGGTAATTATGCAACAATGGAACAAACTGGTCAATGATTCAGACCAGAGCAAACGAACTACAGCCCTCAGTTTTCATGTCAGGTATCAGAAAATTAAGGTTTTTTTGCATTTGATGATAGAATCTTGAGTTCCAGAATAAAGGCATAAAGGTTTCCAACAAAGCCGCACTTAACGTCAGGTATAAAAGGGCAAATAGATGAAAGAGACCTTTTTGAGATTCCTATTTTATTCCAATTGAGCTCGCAGTAGAGCCACTACTCCTTCTAATCGAAGGAGCCAGTTGAGGTGGTTCGGGAATCTAATTAGGATCCTCCTGGACGCCTACCTTTAAAGGTTTTTCTTGCACGCCCAAATGGGAGGAGACCCCGGGGTAGACCCTGGAGGGATTAAATATCCTGTCTGGCCTGGGAATGACTCGTGATCCTCCATGGGGAGCTGGAAAATGTTGCTGGGGAGAGGGAAGTCTGGGTTGACTTAATTCACTTGCTGCGACCGCGACCCGACCTCGGATAACCGGAAGATAATGGATAGATGGATGATTTATTCTAATTTTATTCTCTACTCTGAAGCTAACACTTGAAGTATTGAGCTAATGAGGCACTTTCTTCTTCTGCTAGGTGTGCTGTGATTACCAGCATTGCTGGAGGTTTCACTGAAAACTTCAACTGTAACGGGATGGACGGCCGCTACGTCAACGTGGTCATTCCTGGAAGGGTGGAGTACCTGGCTGTGTGTGAGTTTGAGGTCTATGGATCCAGACTGGATTAGATCTCAGAGGAGGTTGAACATTTTTATCAGAGATAAACATCTTTACAGCCTGGTTCAAAAAACCAAATAGGTCTGATTGGCTCATGTCTTGATCGGCACACACTGAATTTTATGATGACTCATTCGTTTTGATTTGATGAAGGATAAGAGTTATTCACAATAAGGCGTGGGCAGGGGCGTGCAAGGGGACCCCCGCTCCATCATCAAGTACAGAGACCTGGACACTCCAGACGACCTGGACTTCTTTTAAACCCGGACAGAGCTCTGGATGTTTTTTAAACCAGTTGCACCAGCTGACCTGATTGACAGGCGGGTGCAGTGTAACGGTTTGTCAGGAGGCTTAAAACCCGCCTCAGCTCTAGCTCTCAGCCTGTCGTTAGGTTGACTGAAAGTTAGGCTGAGACAGCATTTCCAGCATGGAGACCGCCATCGATGGGACTCCAGCGCCCCCTGCAGGAACAGACGGTCGACGTCACTCAGGCTTTTTTCATTAAAGGAGCAACATGTAACTCGCTCTGTAAACCTTTCTGCGTTCTAACCTCTCTCCATTTTTCAAAAGCATCTCCAATATTGATCCTAGTTTGAGCACGTTTCTTCTCGTGGAGCTTATTAGAAACATGCAGAGGCTTTTTAGGTCGGGTACAATCACTTCTATCTGAAACAGTTCTTCCATCGCTGCAACACCTGTTGGTTTGACCTGATAACTGCTCTCATATCTGACAAACCGAGGGGCGTCCAACATGGCCGTGTGCCTTAAAACCGCCTACCTTCTCTGGTCCAAACAAATCCAGAGCATTCAGGACCAGAATCTAAAGTTAGAAGGAGGACATACTGGCTGCTGCATTGTTGTCAGAGAAGCCAGCACTTAAACATAGCATGTTTCCTTAATGTCTGATCATATAGTAAGCTCACTTTATCATTTCACTCATTACAGAGCTTACTGATTGAACAATTAATGTTTACAGTCTATGGGAAGCTGGAAGGACATCAGGCAACGCTCCAAGGTTAACTCAGTCCGTACAAACAACGTACGAAAGTGAACCGAAGTGTTCAATAATTCCCACTGCAGTAGTCCCAGAGTTAATGTTCAATGTCGTAACTCCAGGGGCGTATACAGAGGGGGGGGACAGGGGTTGAAAAATGTGCAACCAATGTTGTTTACACTGTTTTACTGCCAATGCTTTTATTGGCAACCTTCATGGGTTAAAGTCTGAGATGAAATCGAGTGTTATCGGTTTGTCGGGAAACACACACACAATCCATGTGATGCAACCATTGCTGTTTACACAGTTTTACTGAATTTTTTGAGTCATCCGTTTTGATTTTATGAGGGATAAGAGTTTTCCCAACAAGGCGCATAGCTGACGTGATTGACAGGTGCGCGGGATGCAACTGTTTGTCATAATGCTTAAAACCCTCCTCAGCTCCAGGTCTCAACCTGTCGTTAGGCTGACATTTCCAGCATGGCGGCGGCCTCTGATGAGCCTCTGGAGCCCCCTGCAGGAAGTGATGGGTGATGTTACTCAGGTTACGAATGTACGAATAACCTTGTTATGCTGCAGTGAATGTAATTCATATATTCAACAACACAAACTGCAAGATAGTACAACACTTGCATTAACAGTTTAAACACTATAACAACAACTAAGAAGCGGTATCAATCGCAATGGATTGTGGGATGGGTAGTTCCTCGACTCGGGAAGATAAATCATCACATTGTACCATTGTCTTTTTCTCAGTTTGTTAATGCCGTTTTTACGCCTGAGGGTACTGCGCCCCACAGTTTGTGCTTGCCGTCTGAGCGCGCTGCGAGGAAGTTCAATATTTTCAACTTTGGCGCAGCACTCCCGACGTCACCTCCAAGCGTCCAATAGCAGGGAAGATCAGATCACAACAAACGTTGTCCCACTTTCCTGAGCTCTAGTTTACAGACCTACCAGGACATCAGACAGAGAGCTCTAGTTTGTGCAGAAATGTGTGGCGTGTTCGTGAAGCGGTCATTATAGAGCTGCAGCACCTGAACGAGCCTAAACGCTCCCACATCCTGTCGCGCCCTGAGGCTTTCATGAAGCCACACCCTCTTCTTCTTTTCTGTTCGTCTCCTCCTTCCCAGCAGATGAAAGGTCGGAACTTTCTACTGAATAGTGGACACATACATTGTGCTGGGGCACAATGCTATTGAGCTATTGTTCCGACTATCGTTTCGGTCACAAGCGACTTGCGTAGCTGATTTGCTCACTCCCCCTCTGCTCTGCGCTCTACCCGCAAGCGCAGTGCACACCGCATACTATCTGAAAAGCTCTTAAATATAACGGCTAATGTTTGTGTGTTAAGCCAAAGTCCTGGTTCACTGTTATTTACTCTGCATCTGACTTACAGATTCTGCTTTAGGAACAGGAGAGACAGAACGTATTAGTAAAAGCCTGACTGTTAGAGGGAAGGCAGAGACTGTCACAACAGTTGGATCAATGCAGTTGTGTATTTATTTATAAGTAGGAATCACATGACTGCTATCGTTTGCGTGCCCTTAGATGATCTCTTGAGTCCAGATGACCGGGAGAGGAGTGTGATTTGTCTTCATGGGAGTAGACTTTATGATGTGATGTGATTGGCTTTCAGGGTATTTATATTACGGATACGTGTAAGACTAGTCTGCACACACACACAAACACACACACACATCTCTGCCTGGGGAAGAGTTGCATTGTTGGACTCCAGGGAAATACCAGAAATCAGGGTAAATATTTCATTTTTCTCTTTTAAGTATTCATTCCTGCAACTAGTACGATGCATATAAATACTGAAAATGTACCTTCAAGAGTTACTGACTTAGCAAATTCTTCATTATATTTTAAAACCTGAGCTTGAAACTGTAATTTCTTAGGTATGACAAAGGCACTAATAAAGTACTTTCTGAAAATGTTTTGTATTTCTCTGTTGGTAGACTGGAAGAAGGAAGAGTATGTGGGACAAAATAGTAAGAATTGGGCATTTAAAATGTGTTTACAGCAAAGTGTCGGCACAAACCTGGAGTGAGGCAGGCACAACGTTTAAAAAGGGTCAGTGACCCAGTGCCTGGTGCAACAGATACCCTGGCCAAGATCCGAGTATGCTCTACCCCAAAGTCCGGTCATTTAATCAGTGTGAACACAAACGTACCATACTTTTACCATACTCGGGTACTGTGCCCGAGTCCCCTGGAAGAGGTGGCCTCGGCCATGATTCATGTGTACTCGATCACGGTCCGCGGTAGATTTGGATGAAACTGTAATCAAACAAGGAAGTGGACCACTGTGACGTCATTCAAAAAGTCTTGTGTTGCTCCAAAAACCGCTGTATCCGAGTAGCACAGACCTGTTTCATCCTCTGAGCTGCACAATAGATGTGGAAGTAATAAGAAGATGGTTGTTGGGGTCCCAGAAATAACAAAAACATCCACAGCTAGCAGGATGGACTCAGTCCATGATTGGTTGCCATGGTTGCTTCTTCAGCTTTTTGGTGGATTTGCAAACCACCTGTGTGCATACTGCCACCTGCTATATCGGACAGTGTGAATAAGCAAGTGTTTAACGTAGACGAGCGGAGGAAGGGGGCAATCGAGCCTAATGTGAAAACGCCCTTAATTTGGATGAAGAGCCCTGAAGCAACAGGACATCCTTTTTTTCTAAAGTGCCAACTCATTACAAATCTTATCTCAAGACACTTTACTGAAAATTGTTCTCTCTTTTCTGTCTCATCCAGAACAATGAAGTACGTTTTGTTATTTATTTTGCTGACCCTCTTGGGAACGTGCTCGGCCAGAAATCATGGTAAGTATACTGTAATGTGATAATAACGGTATTCTCTTTATTGTTGGTAAACTGATGTACAAAATGAGTTCTCTCTATTCTAGTTCTCATACAATCCACAGTACCACTTAGTATTGTAGTAGAAGGTCTCGGCCTTGTCTCGGAACCGAAAGTATTTTTACCCGGTCTTGTCTCGGTCTCAGACTGGGTGGACTCTGGATTTTAAATCAAGACCACCACTGATCGGCTACATTTCCACGTCAGCACTGTGACGAGAAGGAAGAATGCCGGCTTCAACCTTCCCAGTGTTGTGGTCTAAATGAGTGACACACCCGGCGCCGCACACAAGATGATGATTTTTTCATTGATATTTATGGTCTTGGTCTTGTCTTCGTCTCATCCTGTCTTGGTCTTGGTCTTGTCTTGGTCTCTGAGCACTCTGGTCTCGGGTATGTCTTGGTCTTGGTTACTGTGGTCTTTACTACAACACAAGTACCAGTTCTAACTAAATCGTTAAAGGGTTAACTGTGTTTACGTTCGGAGCGGGAAACTGTCTGCTCCCTTCATTTCCACTCCTTCAAGTGAGAAATAGACAACGAGAAGCTGCCAATCAAACTTATTTAAGACAAGTGGAAAATTTAAAAAAAATACTATAATCACAAATTTGAATGTTCATTGTGGGGGAAAACTTCCTTTTAGTGAGTAGGAATCTGACATCATGAAGCTATTTCCATGAATACTGCTTATGTACATACTGTAAGAACTTTAGCTCAAGTAAAATAATCATCTGTTACATAATAGCATATATTTCACATCAATATATTCATATTTTGCACTACTCTCAACTGCACTGGTATTTTATTTAGCTTTGTCTATATTAGTTTTTTTTGCTTAAATGTTTATATTTAATGTTATTCTTTTGTACATTGAGAGCACAGTTACCGAAGACACATTCCTTGTGTGTGTTTAAGTATACGGTCAATAAAGCTGATTCTGATTCTATTTAATATAAATCTACAAATAATTTCCTCAACAGAAAATGTGGCCTTGCATGGCAAAGCAACTCAGTCGCATCGCTTTCCGCATGAATTTGGGGATGCCTCCAGTGCAATCGATGGAAACCGTGAATCAAACTTCGGCGCTGGTTCATGCACTCACACTATAGAAATGGAAAACCCCTGGTGGAGAGTGGACCTGCTGGACAGCTACATCGTCACCTCCGTCGTCATCACCAACAGAGGAGACTGCTGTCCAGAGAGGCTCAATGGGGCTGAGGTTCACATAGGCAACCACTTACAAGACAATGGTGCTGCAAACCCACTGTGAGTGATATTAAAGCTACTGAAAACCTCATACTGCAATAACCTAGAGGTAGCATCTGCACAGTCAGGGCCGATCACACAGAGACGCGTCACTAGAAAAGCCTCGCCAACAAAATACCCTAGTTTTATCCTCTTTGCATTGGTTACCCGTTTCTTTTAGTATCCATTTTAAAATGTTACTTATTACTTACAAGGTTTTTCATGGCCATGCCTGCAGGCACCAGACTACATCAATGAACTCCTCGCTCCTTAGCACCCAAAACAGCCTCTGACATCTGCAAGTTTAGGCCTCCCAGCAGTTCCACAGTCCAGACCAAGGTCAAAGGGTGATCGACCATTTGCTCTACTGGCTCCTCAGCTTTGGAACAATCAATGTTGTCAATGTTGTCTGTGGAGCACTTGGTGCATCTGTCTTGAAAAGTGCTATATAAATGAAATGATTATTATTATTATTTTACATTATATGATGTTTTGACAGATGTGTTATCTGACCTTGACACATCACAGATAGATAATGATCTTTTTTTTTTAGATTTATTTTTGGGCTTTTTGTGCCTTTAATGGGGAGACAGGACAGTGGATAGAGCTGGAAATCAGGGAGGAAGAGTAGGGAATGACATGCGGGAAAGGAGCCGCCCGCAAGGAGGACCATAGCCTCCATACAAGGGGCACGCGCACCAACCACTGCACCACCAGCGCCCCGATAATGATCATTTTAACGTGTTTGTGTGTTTGTTTCAGGGCTGGAACAATATCTCACATCCCTGCAGGCAACTCGCACACCCTGACTCCAAGCTCTGGTACCAGTGGACGTTATGTGACAATCGTTCTACCCGGTGCTAAAAGGTATCTTACGCTGTGTGAAGTGGAGGTTTACGGGTACCGTGCCCCGACAGGTGAGGATTTAAGCCATACAGTTCTATTTTAAATAAGTTAAAGTCATTCTGTTAAAGCATGTATCTAAACATTTAAGTTCATACCTCGATCTGGTTGGATACTTGATTGTGATTGGCTGCTCAACAAAGACGCAGCATGTTGGAATGGATACACATCAGTTATGACTTTATATGATGTTAGAAACAGGCAGATGTGGTGGTCTCCATCCCTCCCACACAGAAATCTTCAGAATTGAGGACATTTCAGAATGGAAATGTTGTGGAAATTGTGTCTGATATATGACAAGTTGCTTTGCAGATGTATTTAAAAAAAAAAAAAAAAACATTGTTGTGACCTCATAGTGATTAAAACACAGAAGAACAAACATATTTATAAGTGCTTGCATTTTATTTTACAGGAGAGAACCTGGCGCTCAAAGGAAAAGCCTCACAGTCATCATTGTATACAGAAGGCGATGCATACTTTGCTGTTGATGGGAATAACGACAACGATCGGGCCCACAGGTCCTGCTCTCACACCGACACTAACTTCGCACCCTGGTGGCGACTTGATTTGCTTAAAACCCATAAAGTGGATTCTGTTAAGATAACCAACCGCAAAGATCTTGAGTTCTATCAACGACTGAATGGAGCCGAGCTGCGCATTGGAGACTCACTTGAAAACAATGGCAACAACAACCCAAGGTATAGTGTTCACCCTGTTCACTTAAAGGTCACATGCTATTCTCCTCTTCAACCAGTTTAACTTGGTCTCAGAGCTCCCCAAAACATATCTGTGAAGTTTCTTGTTCTAAATCCACTCTGATCCTGCATTTGATCATGTCTATAAACCCCTCTATTTCAGCCCTGCTCAGAACAGGCTGTTTCTGTGTCTGTAGCTTTAAATGTCTGACCACGCCCTCTCTGGAAGGGCTTGGGTGGCTCGGGCTTTCTGGCTCCATGCTCTATTGTTTACTGTGAGAAGGCAGACTCAGAGAGCAGAACAAACCTAGCTGTGGGAGTGTCACCCACCATGGGGAGGGGTTAGTGCCCTTTCTGATGTCATGAAGGGAAAATCTCCCAACGGCCTGTTTGAGCACACGTTTTTTTCTTCTGCTCCAGGGGCCTGTATGTACAGTACTACTGAAATACTGATTGTTTGTTGTCTCTGATTAATCTTCTTCTGTTGTTTGTTTGTAAATATATGCATGGTCTGGATGGACTGTGGAACCCAATTGCCCTCTGGGATAAATAAAGTCTAAGTCTAAATTAAATAAATATTGAGGAAAAGTTCTGCAGTTACACATGTTTCACAGTTATAACAGAGAACATTTTTTTAAATGGTACTTATGTGTTAAAGAATGTGACGTCTTGACTGGTCTTTCTTTTGTCAGATGCGCCGTGGTAGATAACATCCCCGCCGGAGCGACTGTTGAATTTCAATGTAATGGGATGGATGGCCGCTATGTGAACGTATTCATCCCTGGAAAGGAGGAGTACCTGACCCTGTGCGAGGTGGAGGTTTATGGCTCCGTCCTGGATTAGCATCAAGATTCACTTTATCCAAAATGAGCTAAATTTAACCAACTGAACTCACATGAATCAAACTAATAGATACGGCTTAATTTTGATTGTTTGCATTGAAAATAATAAAATTTGTGTAAAAGGATAATTGCATCTTGGGGGGGGGGGGGGGCTCTGATGGTTTTTGGGAGTGAGCTCCAGAGTGTGGGAGGGGCAATGGAGAAGGCCTTGCCCCCCCCCAGGACTGATGGTTCGTTCTGCATGGGAAGTACAAGTGGTTTGCATCAGTAGACCTGAGAGTGCAGAGGTGGAGTATGCCGGTGGAGGGGCTCAGATAGGTATGGGGGGATATCAGAAACGTGGGGGAGAGGGGGCAGGTTGTGGAGGGCTATGTTAGTGGTGATGAGGACTTTGAAGTGGATACGCTGGGTTTCGGGGAGCCAGTGGAAGTCACGAAGAACGGTGGTGATGTAGTCACAGGTGCAGGAGTGTGTGAGAATGCGAGCAGCAGAATTCTGAATATATTGTAGTTTTGTATTTAGAGCTACAGTGTAAGTAATAATGGTAAAAGTATTTGTTGTATATTAGCAGTTACAGCTAAGTATGATAAGAGACTCATCAGTCTAATATTGATGTTATGATTGATGAATTTCTTCGACGTCGTTGAACGCAATTGGACTTCACTCCCTTCCGCCCACTACACTCTGCCAAAGAAAGGCGTCTGATCCAACCTTCACAACAGGGCCCTCAATTTCAAACTAGACTCTTCAAGAAAGCAGTATAGATAATGGGAGGTTGGATTTTATTCAATATTTTTGTCTACCTTGCACTGTTGTTGCTGCTCCTTATTGTTGTCTCTCATGCTGCTGCTCTATATGCCTTTATATTGCCCCCCAAATAACGTTTTTTGACAAGAATTGAATTAACGTGCACCAATAAAGCAGATTTTCTCCGACTATTCAAAATGTTATTATGGACTAATACTCCCATTGTCATCATGTGGTTCTCTTTGCTTGCAGTCTAAAGGCCGAACAGTATCTAATAAAACATCTTATGAAGCGTCTGAAAGTCTGTCAGCA